AGATTTGAGAAACAGCAACTGGCTGCATGACTGTTCAGAAAATGCAGTTTATTTGGTGGTTATCTTCTCCTTTTGAGACATGGATCTCTGTAGAACCAGTGCTGCAGATAGCACGAATATTGCAGTCCAAGTAGATGGGAGAATTAAGATCCCATTTATGAGAATCAAAGGTACTTTAACAGACGTGTGGCATTTGGGTCTTAGCAAAAACCCCCCAAGTTCTAATACCAGCAGTGGAAAAGGAGAGCTGTGGAAAAAAAACCAAAACAATACCAAAACAACAAAACAAAACCAAAAACTTGAGAAATACCACTTCTCAGTTCTGATCTACACCTAAAAAAATGGCTTAAGACTTTTCTACACCCTGGAACCATGCCTGGCACGGGTGGTCCGGGACACCTGACATAGATGAAACAAGAGAGCTGATGTCTAGAATCAGTCCCTTTTTGCATTTAGACAGTGCAGTGTCAGCCAGACTGTGAGACATTATGATTCAGTTATTTGCTACTTGTGCAAAAGCTAGCCTGAGCGAGCCGATCTGCGTGATGCAAATAACAACAAAATTGGTCTAGTCTGCCTATATTGGAAATATGAGGCAGTGCAGACTGTTTAGCATAGATATTAGGTGGCATGTCTAAAAGATTTTTCTGCAGTGCTGAGATTCTTGAGGATTCTTGTTCTGTAGCTAGAACAACAGCCTACCTTTTTTTCTTTTTCACTCCAAACCTGAGCCACTGACTGTAATGTTGGGGTGATTTTATGTTATTTTTAAGCCCATGCCGTGACTTCTGATAGACTCAGCAGTCGGGAATGAGTCATGCACTCAGCTCTTAATACAATGTGCACGTAGTCTGCTGGGTCCAGCTGTACAGCTAGTCCCAAGCCCAGAAAAGAAGGAGCAGAGAAGACAACACTCACTTAAACCTGTGTCTTTACTAGGAGGACACCCACCACATACAAGCAGAGACCCACACTTGAATGAAGGATGGGAGCAGGGCGGTGGACTTTAGGAGACAACATCCGCAGCTCAAGCCCTTGTGCACATTTTGGGAACCCACTAACAGGCTTTTCACACTGGTCCTGGTCTGTAAAGAGTGGAGTGTGCCTGACCTGCATGGCTTCGGACATGGAGGCAGAGCAAATCCTTGTTGCAAATGAATCACCACAGCATGAAGCGGACAGGAAAAAGAAGTGGAACTTTGTGCAGAGTTAACACTGGTGGGTTTTACTAGCATATTAGTATCTAAGTGATTTCACAGAAAGAAGCTTGCATAGATTTTTAGTAAAACTTTCTGTGAATAAATCTGCTTTAGGAAAGTAACGCAACACCACGCAATGCCAACTGACCAACACAGTATCTGATCTATGATGAATATCCGCATATCCATATTCATATCATCTGTAAATGTGTCCAATGTATGTCTCCAAAATTAACCTGTTTCATTAAAAATAATAGACGCAGTCCTAGTAACCATATAGGAAAATCTTTGTAAAGCAGGGAAGTCAGGTCCAGAGGAAAGTTGTAGATGGATCTGGGCTGGTGAATCTTCATTGCTGTTTTTATAAGAGGTGACCATTACCAAGACATTGCAACTTCAACCAGTTAAATTACAAATCCAAGTAAAGCATCTGCTCATAAAGGAAAAAACTCCAGTTGAAATGCTTTGTTTCCTAAATCGCATATATACTTTTAATCTCTCACCTTTTTTTTCACAGAAAAATATATTCACTGTAAGTCGGTTGTGCTACAGCTTTTTAAGAAAAATTTATTTGTTGAGAAATGTGAGCTGGTGGTATAACTTTTGTGATGATAGACAATAATAAAATGCAATATCAAATCTGATGTTGGACTTCCTGAGTAATTTTTCTGGATTGAAAATTGAAAAATATATATTTTCTTCTTGAGCATTTTTAGGTCAGTTAATGACATTAATAAAACCTCAGTCTCTTGTGGATCTATGGAACCCGCACACTAGTGAAAAGGGAGCTGTTCTTACTCACTGACTGGGAAATTCAGTTTTAAATTGTGTTCCTCACTGGTTCTTGTTTGAAATGAATAAGAAGAAGCTTAAGGATTTTGTGGGTTTTTTTTTCCCATGGAAGTTTACCATTTCAGGATACACCTTATGGAATTTGTGTCTTGCAGAATGTATTTTAATGTTTTGTGCTATGTACTAAGTGTTCTTCTAGTGAAAGCACAAAAGACTTTACAATTCACGTAGTATTTAAGCCATTTCATGTAATCAGGATTTTGAAAAATATAAATGATCCCTGCAGTCACAAATCCAATAGCCAGGGCTGAATTTATGAACAGCTTCGTTTGTGTCTTCTTAACTCCATGTAAATCTATGTGCATGTCTTAACTGAAGGCACATTTGGAGGATTATTTGCATGAAAAGTGCTGATGAAGACATGTCAAAATAGGAAAGTTATTTTAAGACAGCTATAGTAGGGTATCTTCCTATCCAGGATGTTTGTTAGCTCTGACAAATCTTTGTTAATTTTGCCTGGCTGTTTTCATCAATCTTTGAGTTCCAACAAAAGCTAATAAAACCAGCTATGAATGCTTTAAATATAACTACATTTCAGAGAATATTAATCAGGAGATGGCTACATATGTCATGTCGATACAGAAGCACACATTTTTGTCACTCTGTGCTATGCAGTAGCATTCAGAGGAAGACTAGATCCCTCATCGAATTTCCATACATTTGAACTGTTCTTCCCCAGAGTTAGGGTAAATTGCACGACAAATGTTATGATCATCAACATCCATTCCAGGGAATCAAAGTAGCTGCTGACCTTTAAATGTGAACACATTCACATACCAGTCTACCAACCATCTGCTGTGACCTGACATTTCTGTTATTGCCACTGCTGACTCCTGCAGCCCCCTCCGAAACACTGCAAATGTGATGGTCTCTGCCCATGGTGACTGCCATCTTCCTCTGCAAAGTGTCCTCAGGAAAGTATACTTTGCTCCCTCTGGCCCTTTTCCTATTTCCATACCTACTCTGTTCTCCAAATCCCACTGAATCGTAGCATTACTTGTCCAGGGTGTTAAGGGAGCCTCTAAATCCAGAAGACCCAGGATCCCTCCTCCCCAGCTGATGTGCCCAGGTGGAATGGTCCCAGGTGATCCCTTTATCCCAGTTCCAGGGGTGCAGCTGCTGCTATTCCTGCTTGCAGGCCTGGTCTGTAGCAACATTGAGCATGTATCGAAGACACACACACCCCCACAAACAAACACACCCACCCACGCCCGCCCACCCACCGCAGACTGGTGTGGATAGCAGCACCCACCTATAACGCTACCCAAACTCACACAAGTGCAGACAGCCCCATCCTCTTCCTCCCCTCCAGCTGATCAGAGTGGAGGTTCTCTGGTAAAGACATGTGTGCCCTCATTCTCCACATCCATAAACACCCATATTCACAGCCCACTCGAATGCTAGCATGCCCTCTGAACCTGTTTAATATCCATGTCTGGACCTGGGGGCCTTTAACTGGTATGCAAGTCAACTCCTACTTGCCAGTGAAACAGATGCATACACTCACGCACTCATTGCATAAGTACTCCCACAACCACAGGTCTCGTGAACATTGGCACAGACTTTCAGCCTGCCTAATGTCCATGCCTGGACCCTGAGCTCCCTTACCGCAGCCACTGGCTCAGACTGAGTCCTCCAGATGTGGAAACGTTTCCTCCAACTCACCAGCTAGTCCAGCTTGAATTCTGGTAGTGAATTATACATACACACAGAGAGGATTAAATTCACTGAAGAAATATAAACACACTCAGGTCTCTTCAGTTGCTGGCACTTAGGCTTCTTACACACCCACATACAACCTGATCTCTCCAGTTGCTGCCGTCCAGACATACATCCCTGGTGCCCACGGTCTCTCCTCCTGTTGCTGGCACTTGGACCTCTCAACACACACACATATCTCTGCAGTCTCTGGCCTTTAGATCTACAAGCCCTATGGCCTACAGTCCCCCCAGTTACTGGCACACAGATTCATGCATGCCAGTCACATTAATGTACTAGTACCTAGACCCACGAGCCCTAAGACCTGTGGTCTCCTCTGGTCATTGGCACACAGATCTATTTTGCAGGCTGGGCTTTCCAGTTGCTGTGACACCACTTTCCCACACTAGTTCCTCTCTGGTACACTGTGATCCTTTACTTTTTCTTTGGAACCTTTGGCCATTCCCCTAAACATTCTGTAGTAATTTTTATGTAAGTCCACAAGCCTGTTCTGATCGTCTGTATCCCAAATAGCCTCAAGTATCCCACAGTGTTAATCGTGTTTCCTCCTTCCTATCAATAAAAAATTGTTGTTCGGGTTGGCATTCTAAAAGGCTCTCCCTGAGTCATTCCTTCAGTGGACAACCAAACAGCAGCTGAAGTGTTCTGGGTCCTCATTATTGTCTCTGTTGCGACTTCCTCACTAATGTTTGTGTGTCTGTGTGGTTAATTTATCACTTTCCTCATTTCCTGTTATTTCTTTTATAGTGAGTAGATCACAAGCAAATAACTTAAGGAACCAGATGCTCCCATGCTCCACATACTACCCTCACACTATTGACTGACAGCTGTTGCAAGACTTGAAACTGCTGGGTACCCTGTGACAGGGGTCCATCTCCCTTTTCTTATAGACATCTGTATCATGACAAGATAGCTAATTTAGACTTCACTGTGTTGACTGAAATTCAGGATGCAGTTTTACATGTTTACTTCATGTTCAGATAGACTTAAAGCACAGGGCAGGCATTTCTCATCACATATTTCCATCTTTCTCCATTGCATGGTGATACACAACACTGTCAGACAGTTCACTGACTTTAGCACAATATTTATCCAGATGATTAATTATTTTCCAGACTCAATAAATCTTTATCATGATGGTTGAGATAAAAGTAACAGAAAGAACAGTGACGTAGTTGTGGTTTTCCAGTGATGTTCATTTTGTGTCTTTGATGCTTGTTTGTATTATCTTCAGAAGGATGTTTTACTCTAAATGGGGAAAAAAACAAAAACAAAACTACATCTCAAAAGACTGTAGGGAGGGGAAATACATGTATAATGTAAGAGAGTTAATTACAAAGAAACTAAAATAATTTATTGGAAGGTCATAAAGTAACAGTGTCAAGTACTGGCACTGCACAGAGGTACTGCACCTCAAGAAGACATCAAATGAAGAACGAGGTGTGATTCTCGGACAAAATTCAAAATGGAAGTCTGCTCTCTGGGAGGCCATTCCTCTTCAATTTACTTACAAAATTTATCCTGTGCCTTGTGAGTCCCTCTAAGCTATGTCATTCTTAGTATTCTCAAGACTAAGTCTCTATTTAAAATAAGAGTCCAGATGCCTGGAACTTTGTGAAACTTGTGGTCAAAACCTACACAAATGTCTCGGCTATTGACTACATGGCCTTTCTGATTCAGTCATTCAGGTAGTTAAAATCTGCTGTCTTCTTTTAATTCTCCTTAAGTCACAATTTCCATGGCTACTTTGTTCCTTGCATTAAAAATGGCCATTAAATAGGGAAACAGCTTTTTATATTTACTCTTTTTTTTGCTTTTTTTGACATTTTGTATTTTTTTTTTTTAGCACCATGGTGTTTTAAGGGGAGATCTTTAGTAGAAAATGCAGTAATAGAAGAAATACAAATTCACTAAGTGGAAGATATGGTTTCATTAAAAACTAAAAATCAGCCCCTTTGTTCACTCAATGTAGGCTGTCCTGGGGCAGTAAGAGTGGTGGGCGTGGAGGAGGAGAACAGGTTTTGAATGAAGTGTCCAGAAAGTCACCAAAAGGTGTTTGGTAAATGAGTAGCACTTAATGGAGCTCTTTAATTCCTAAGCTGGAGTCTTCTTACTTCAAAAATGTGACATCTTCCAACTTAACTTCTTGCTGAATTTGTTTACTTTTTAGTAAATACATACATAAATACATACATACATATATATATATATATGTGCATTTATACATATATATACTTGTTGAAAGAGGCAAAATACTTACTTGTTGTAGATTCAGGCTCTCCCCATTTTCCTTTCTTTGTCTGTATTTCTTTTTAAGGCACACTGCCGTTGTGATAGTGACAATGAGCATTACGACAAATACACTTATGGTTGAAGAAACAGCTATTATAGTATTTTCTCGAGTTGAGCCTTTCCTTTCACACTTTTCTCCCATGTACCACCAGTTGTCACCTGTTGGACATCTAGAAAGTAAAAAAACCAGATGTGTGGTATCACCTAAAGGTTAAAAGCATCAAAAGGTCTACTAAAGAATAACAGCATCTCTGATGCACTGTTTCTATACCCCAAAGCATAATAAAGTTATCGTGAAATGGACTCCCATTTTAAAGTTGTCTTGAGTGGCCTACTCTTCTTACACATCTGGATGTGAGTCTTTCAACTTCTGGCTGTTTTGCAGGGCATGGCTTCAGAGAGGGCCTTTGCTGGAAAACCCAAGCATCATCCTGATCCTTTTGACTGCTTAAGGCTTGGCTGCAGCTGGTCTATAGAGCCGCTGCTGCAGAATGATCGTCTTTCTCTACCAACAGAAAAGCCCTTTGGATCATTCGGTTCACTTATCTGCTGGCTTTTCCTTGAAGTTTATAGCACTTCTGTTGATACAAAACTCACTTTCTGCTCCATGAAAGTGGTATCTGTCATTAGGACCACTGTCATGTGATACTTGCTTCCATTATTACTGGTTACCCTCATGTCCTGATGCAGTTCTAAGCCTTTTGTCATGCTCAGCTTTTACACAAAGTCCTTCTATCTTCTTCACTCAATCAATTTTACAGTCTCCTATGGCAACTAGCACAGAAGCTTTTTTATCCTATCAATCCACATTTACCACCCTTCAGAAAACTTCATCCACCTGTTTTCTCATGTGTTCTTTGTATGGTTTTTTGTTTGGTTGGGTTTTTTATATTATTTCTCAGCTCACCTTTTGCAGCAATTCAAACTTGTGAGATAAATGGGGTGGAGACCACAGGCTGGACTCTGAAGGCACCACTGATCAGAGAGCAGCTGAACCAAAACTTAGGTGCATGAATTCCCCAGCTCTAGAACTGAGCTAGCCAAAGATGTTCCCACCACATACCCCTTTCCCTGCTCAGTGTTTATCCACTAGTAGATGTAGCACTTTCTGATCAAGCCTTCTCATTGCCAGAAGGCACTTATTTTCAAATGTAAAGAGTTTGTAAGAGCTGCTTCTGCCATCCCTCAAGAAGAAAGTAAGAAAAGATATTAACATCCTAACAGTCATCTAGTTTTAGAATTAAAACCAACATCCAGGCCTTGATTCCTTCACCTTGTCCAACATCACCATTAGCTCTGAAATATTTTATAACGAGCATGTGAGAGTCCCTGAGTGCACACATGCCCCTATGTTTCTAACCCTGGTTGTTCCTTATGTATTGATTTTCTAATTTCCATCTAAATAATTTTTTCAGGACTATATGTTCAACCCTGAAAATTAGTCCACTTGCAGTGCACTGCGAGGATACTGACTATTGGGTGACTTCATGTAATCTGGTTTATATGGAGTTATGTATCACAGACTCCCTTGTTTCCCCATAGTAAATCAGAGCAGAAACTGATTGCGGGTCACGCACTTCTGTAGGATGCAAAGTAGGTCACATAGGCACCAGAGCTTCAAATAGTCCAGACATATCAGAGGATAAATGTTTTCTTTCCGTAATTTCGAAATCAGGCATAACATTCATCATAACTTTTTTTTTGTCTTCTTGGAACAGCTTCTTGACATTTACTCAGATTTGTGCCCTGCTTCTGGTGGGTTGCACAAGAATTGTTTTTTTAAAAGGTTTCTAAATGGGGAGATATAACACTTAATGAGTCATCCTGACTCTTGTTGCTCTTGGCCTTAAGATGTTTGCCTCACAACACTCCCACGCCGTCTACCTGCCCTGGCACAGCATCACGTAAGGTTGCTATCTTCAGCCTTAGAGCTTGTCTGAGAGCCGGGATGATGCTGATCAGCCAAATGGGTTACATAAATGTATCCACAGAGAATTAAATAAAAGTTTATATTAATTTTCTTGCAGGCCAAACAATCTTTTCAAGCCCTCAGCCTTGATTGCTGGTTTCAAAGGCAAGCAACTGCACATTGGTAATTCATGGTCATAATTTACACTACACAATATTTCTGAATCAAATTCTAAAATAATGTCTACGCTGCTTCCTTCTTGAGAAGTATTAAACATCTTTTATACTGATATAAATGCCCTTTTGTTTCAACTGCATCTATATTTAACTCTTCTAAATTTTGCTATAGGGGTATCTAAGGAGATGCATAGTCCATTTTATAACATTGGACTAATACATTACTGAAAACAATAAAATAATTTAAAGTATAATTTACAGGGAAGTCAAATAGGCAAATGCTGAGGCCAGGTGCTTTGTTGCCCAAATTGGTCATAAGTTTAGTCTCGCAGTAGCAGTTGGAAATATTTGCTTTAATCAGCTATAGTCTGTCTTTCATTAGGAAGAAAGATTTACTCTACTAGAAACTTTCATTACTCATCCTAAAATTGCATTTAAGAGTGAATAAAAGCAGTTACCTGCACACTGGTGCTCTGTCTACAATAACGCAGACCCCATCATTTTCACAAGGGTTGTCTGGGCAGGAATTGGGAACCTCTATCTCCGGCTTTTCAGTCAGGGTGATAGAGGTTGTCGTGGTGGGTGTTGTGGTGATGGTAGGCCTCGTGGTAGGTTTGGGGGTGGTAGACCTCGTGGTAGGTTTGGTGGTGGTAGTGGTGGTGGTGGTGGTGCTGGCACTGGTTGTATTTGTAACAAAGGTTGGTGAAACACTTGGCTGAGTTGATAGTAGATGTGATATATCTGTACAATAAAAACACAATAAATAAGGTCTTTACTTGATGTTATTTTTCCTCTTATTCTAATGATAAATTCTAATAGGAAAGAGCAAAGAGCCTGTCCACAGGTATAATGTGTAAGTAGTGGTTTTTGCCTTTCAGAAGTATGATGTATTTTGGAAATACCTAGATTTGTTCAGAAACAATTTTATCAAAAATACTCTATTCAAAATAATTTTCACAGGATTAGCATCATTTTGTACACCTTCACATGAGATAAAGGAATTATACAGTGCTTGTACCTATCCACAAATTTATTCGATCATATAATTTGAGTTTAGATACATGGGTAGTTCCAAAACTGCTCATTTGCAAACTACATCATGTGTATTTATATCTACAGCACTGGCAACTTAGTAAGTATGTATACATACTTACTCTGTATTATACACTCTGCATTTACTGTATTATAAAGAATATGAGCTACCATCAATGTTTACATACCTTCCATGGTTAAAAGAATATAAATACCATCTTCTTTAATAAAGTTGCGACTTCTAAGTCTCTGATGAGTTAAGAATGCATTCGTCCCACTTCCTGGACCTCTCATGAATGTAGTTCCATTGGGAAAAGATGCTGTGGATCCCACTTTATCTGGCCTATCCCAAAAATAAGTTGATGAAGAATCTAGGGGGGAAAAAAAACCAAAACCACGACAAACAAACAAACAAAAAACCAAACTGAATGTGAGTGGGACCATTCTGGATTTACTCAATAGAGCCACTTCCTTCTCAGAAAATCTCCACTGCAAAGTAGTACTGAGGTTTCACTCAGCAACCAAGATGTCTGCATTCTATTTTGCATATCTATCTATTCTGTGCATGGATATCATGGATATGGAGAAGACAATAAATTACCCAAAACTCAAGGAGTTGGAGCAATGTTGAACCTTCCCACAATATCTGCAGATTTTTTTGCCTGAGATTCCACACTGAGATGCACAAGACAATGAAGATCTTCAGCAGCATGGATTAGCCTGAGGTATTGAGAAAAGCGTCTGCTAGGTATGAGGTTATGGGAGAGCTGCTGGTTGAAAACCTCTTGTAGTTTCTTTTCAGTTCTTTTAGTGGGCAAGATGAGTAGCACATGAATCATCTGTAAAATTAATTAATTTGGTACTTCTCAAAAAAAAAGAGCATCTCTTGATAAGGATGTAGAACAAAGGGTACTTGAACAATCTGAATAGGCCACTGAAGTCCCCTCCATCAAACTCTGTTCTAAATCTCAAAGCTGAGCCTGATTGTCTATGAAAGTATCTGACAAAGAGAGAAGAAACTGCCTGCTCCAGCACCTCTGCTGGTTAGAGAAAGGGTGAGAGTTACACAGCTTCTTTTGGGAATCTGCGACTATTTGTAATATATGAATAGACAAGGGAGAAGGAGCAGAGTGCAAACCTACTGTACGTCCACAGGGCCAGTGAAGGAAAAGGGCTAAGCATGGTGGCCATGACAGCAGAGAGCAAATTGAAAACATCAACCATCTATGGAGGACCTGGTGTGATGTGTCTTTCATTTACAGGGAGGACACTTAGTCTTTCTAGATTATCTGCTTTGTTTTCACAAAGAGAAAAATAAATGTAAATAAAAATTTAAAAAATAATACTGTGGATGAGACGTTTCTATGCCTCCCTTCCTTCACTACAGTTACGGTCTGAAAGCCCAGGAAACTAATTCAGCGGTGGAGGTGGTTTCTTTTGGAAAAAAACTTATATTGATGCAGAAAGTAATTTTGGCTTAAATCCAGTCTTTATCCGATGATGAATATGGGGATTTTCTTTAACATCTCTCTTTACAGAGATTGCTACCATTTCTCAGAGTTACATCTTTACCTCAGCTGCCTCCTTTCCAAGTTATTGTGGACAATTGCTCCTTATCTTCTTACACCTTGAATGAGTACAGATTATGTATTATGAATCAGTACTTTGTCCATCTGGAGATTTGTTCTGAAACCACTGTACTTTTTACAAGGAGGGAGGGGATTTATTTAATAGCAGCGCTTTTATCTGGTATGAACTCTGTGCATTGTTAATTCAGTTTGTTGAGTTTTTTTCAAGCCTTCTGGAAAACTTCCATTCTCATTAAAGCAGATATAAATGCATCTTAACAGAGCATATGAAAGAAATTTTACGAGTGGATCATCCACCTCTTTCTTCTGCAAATCAACCTTGAAATCCAGTGTCCCAGTTTACCCTATTTGTACTTTAATTTTCTTCTTGTCTGTGGATCAATTATATTTTTGCTGCAAGCAAATGAAACATTCCGGAAGCTGAAAAAACTTTACTGATTTACACAAAGAGAAAATATGACTCCTTATATTTTGGCTGTGTTTTAAATGCACTGCATAGCATGTCTGATTTTAACTAACCTGATAATTTCAGGGGGTCAGTTGTTATACTTCTTTGGTTTGACATCCGTTGACGAATATCAGGATGTTGATCAAGCAGAATCATGGTACCTTGTTGCCATGGACAGGGCCACTGCAGCTGATTGTCATTTGCTCCAGAAATCAAGTGCAAGTATATTGCTAAATTAAATGGGTTATCGGTGGTACCATTTACATACAAGCCGACCTGGAAAGCATATCCTGTACTAGAATAAAAAGGGGGACTGTATATTCTTCCTGCTGTCCCTGCTGGACTTGTGTTGAGGAGATCTGTGAAATTTCTGATATGCCAGATGTGGTGAGGACACTGAGTTTCTGACAAGTTGATGTCGTCAATAGAGAGGCCTCCATTTGACAAACCACTTCCTTTCATGCCTTTAAACACAACCCGGAATTTACTTGTGACATTCAAAGAAATATGATGGAGCTGCCAGTAACTCGCAGGTGAACCTGAAAAACAAGGGCAAGGATTTCTGAGTAAGCAGTACAGTCAAACACCACACAGGTCTATGGACTCTAAGCCAAGGCTATGTATTAATTTCTCCGTTCCACTGGCACTGAGATGACAGTGTGTTTCTCCTGTGTATGTTACTTTTTCTGTGTTACTTTTTCTCAATTCAATTTTTCAGCAGATTTAATATGCACAGCAGCTCTTTAAGTTGAGTGAAAATGGTGCTAATGGTTTTTAACTGCTTTTTCTTTTATATTTTTAAAGAACATTGCATTAAATTGGTCCAAATGTGATAATTAAGTGCACAAAGATAGCTGTCACCTCTATTATTAAAAAGAAAAAAATTCAGAGCAAGATATATTCAAATAACTGAATAACATGTCTCAACAAAAAATGCTACAGAGGATTCTGGGAGCCCAGAACTACAAGACTGGTTCATTCAATTGTTTTTGTATATTTAAATGGCTTGTCAGAAGTTTGCTTATGCACAAGCACTATTCACCCATCAAATGATTAATGGTACTAAGTTCAAATTAAAGCCAGTCATTTGCAAAACCTAATTCATGTGATAAAACCTCACTGTGAGCCTGATGCTGCATCCAAAAGTGCCTGCACCAGCAAATTCCACTTGACTCCAACAGCAGCGTGCACAAAAGCAAAGACCTCTGTGCATGGGCCTTGTAAGGCAAGTGAAAGTAGGACATTATTTGTTAGTTATGTGTGCAGCAAAACAGCTTCTTTTGCAGTCTGGTTTATGTTCACCTGCATAGAAGATCAGAGTTTCAACTGCATTTATGGAAAAAGCAGTGCAAATTCCAAGAACAGAGCAGATGCTTCACTCTCCTAACAATTCTAAACACAACACAATCAATCTCAGGTATGAGAAGTCTTGATTTCTTGCCATTATTCATTACCGTTATAATTAGGAGGGGAAAAAAAATAAACCCAGAAACAAGAACAAAAGCACCCCACTGTTTTCTATTAAATTGCCTTTTGCATTAACTAAAGGTTTTTTGAAGTGCACAGATTATATGCAAGCCTGGGGTTTCTGACTCATGTTCAATGAGCAGACAAGCTACTGTGTGGTAAAATGTCCCACTGCCACAGCCTCCCCTGCTTCTGGCTGAAGGTAGCCACAGCTGCTGCAGACTAGCAGAAAGGGTTCAGAAAGGGTCAGAAAGGCCTCAGCCTCTAGTGTGGTGGTTCAGTGCAAACCCACGAGCAGCTTGGTCAGGTTGTCACATCATGGGTGGAAAGGGCTGTAGTGTTGTTGATGCCTCTTCCAGTCTGTGAACTCTGTGTTGGTGAGGGTAAATTCTCACATGAGACAGCTTGGGAGAGAAATGATCTGAAACCATTTGGACACATAGATCAGAGACTTAAAAGGAAATTATGGATATGAGAAAGAGGGAATGGGAGAAGAGAACTAATATATATGAAAGAGGATTTGTGAAGGTGGCAGAAGTGTAGAGAAATTAGGGTGTAGGGTTTGAAAGGGCTTGGAGGGCTCAGATTGATCTGAAATTTACATCTGCCTTAGCAGCCCTGACACTTACGTTCACTCACATGATTCCTGGTAGCGCACAGAGACGATGAGAACATCAGAGTGAAGAGTGTAAAAAAAAGAAAAGAAAAACAGGCACGAGCAGTAGCTGAGCATAAAGGGACAAAGAGAAGAAAGGGAGTTGATACCTATTTCGTAAAAGAACTTGCTCAGATCCTTATTTAAGTAGAAGATTGAACTAGTTGTAGCTGTAATAGAGATCAAGTTATAGATACTTGAGAAAGTAATTTAATCATAAGGTGAATTTAACAATTCTATATTAAAGAGCTCTTGTCCATTAACTGACCTCAGTTGCTCACTCTCTAGGTCATAGGCTCCTAAATCCACAAGAATTTAATTTTCTTTAAACTACAGCTCAAATAATGTTCTCCCGCCCATATATTCCAGTTCAGTAATTTCAAACATTGTTTAAAAACTAAGGTAAACTTTATTTATCTTTTTTAAACTGAAATGTCAGGTATTCCAGGGCACCTATACTTTCCATTTCTTTATTATTACTTTCTTATTCATTGTAATTTACTCTAATGACCAGCTTCCTCTGTTGCTATTGATACCAGCAATTTTAGAACAGTTAAAATGGCTGCTCATGGAATTTATCTATTTTGGTGAGAAAACTATCTTGATATCATGAGACTTTGTAATTTGAGGCAATTGATTATATTATAGGAAAATGGCTGACTGAGGATCCATCAAGTATAATTTCATCAGCAGAGAATAAATTACATAGTTAGAGAAGAAGCCAAAGAATAACGCTAGGAGATGAAACACTTTGCTACAATATTTCCCCCCAGTACTTTGAAAAGGATATTGAGCATAGATTAAACCAAAATGCAATTTTACTCCATACCTTTTATCTCCTCAATGAGTCTCAAAGTACCATTCGGATGGGCTGAAGTATACTCCCTGACCCAGACATACAGCCGGTCGCTTTCGTGACCACTGTTATAGAAATAGAACTGTAAGCACTGAAACCCCCTTTTGGGATACAGAATTCGGCTCTCCAGGATAGCTGTGCTTCCCTCTGCCCCAGAGCTGGTGTCAAAGTGCATGAAGTAGCCAGAATCTGTCAAGTCAATGAGAAATGAAGGGTAGAGGAGAGAGAAAAGAACATTTTTCTGGCATACCTATATTCTTAACCCTGTACTGTAATACTGCCAGAAGACATGGTCAAGTCAGGGTCAGGGTAAGGTAAACCCTGTACCAATCACCAGACTAAGGACTCTTATCTGTTCAGATTCCCCAGAGGCAGAACATTTCTCCTTGCAACATTTTTCCTTGTTTGGATATCTCTAGCAATTTGTTCCCAGAAGCACAGGCTTTTCCTCTTTAACCAGCACCAGTAGTTCACAGTTGACTCCCTCTGGAGAACTGATTTAAGCTCCTGAACTCAACAAGTTTTCTCTGACACGTTCAGAAACAACTGGCTATATTCTCAATGAATTGTTCACCTGAGCCTTGATAATATGCATAATTTCTAAATACTAATCCTGAGCAATTATTCAGAAAAGCAGCAGTTGTGAAAAGGTGTGTCTGTACCATAGGTTAGAACATTTTATATAGTTCTCATGTCACTATGTGACACTAAGACTAGAAAAGAGATCAAGAGAGAAAAACACACGATCTTCTCAAATAAGCAGAAAATCGAATGTATCACATGATGTCCCTAGGTATGTGGATTTATGTTGCTTAGTTAAAAAATAAACTGGAATTTGTCAACAAATATACAGAGAGCAAGGCCAAGATCAAAGTCAACTCACATGCTTCTGCAGAAAATACTTCTCAGAGAGATAAGAACACTCTTTTCTCATACCTTCGCATTCTCCCATATTCGTGTGATCAGTATGTGGCCCAGCAGAAGCCCAAGACAAACGCTGCCAATCACTGTTATCATCTGAACTTTGAATCATGCCACATATATTTCCAAGTTCAAAACTGCACGTGTCCATGAAACTTAGGGATGAGGCTATAACATTAAAACAAACAAAAAAATAAAGAAGTTGTGAATCTCTGTTACACAGCATACATTTTAACTCTTAATGTCCAAAGCCAAGAGTAGAGAAAGGCTAAGAAATGCAAACACAAAATAATCAGCAGCTTCAAATACCATCAACATTCATAGGTACAGTGCTTAGGAATTCAAAGCATTTGGCAATTAACACTGACATTGATAAGATATAAGGACCACTCTGGGCACTTAGCAAGCACAGGAGGGTGCCAGTTAATTATCATATCGTATCTTTTATTTACAAAAGGAATGCTAATACCAGCCTTGACTCACCAACAATCACACAGCCAAAAGTCTGAGACTTCCTATTCATTGCTCTGCTTTCTTCAGGCTAGACCACACGTGAGCACAGATTTTGGTTAAAATTCTCTAATTCATCAGCTGGAGTGCTTATTTTGAAATACAGTAAAGTATTGAAGTTACTTCACTGCAATGGGTAAGCCTTGATTTTCAAAATGCTGAATTGAAAAAAATATTTGGCAAAGGTACATTTGGGACCAGTGGATATCTCTTCTAATACAAATTTTTAAGATATCTCTCATATAACAGGTGAAAAATTAAGTGAAGGAAGACTGTGCAGTTGAACAAGAAAAGGAAAATACTGTAAAAAACATTTTCTCTGTCTAAAGCAAACCCTGGATGGATGAGGGAAGACAGTCCAGGTTTATCCCTGTTCTTGGATTTGTTTCTCATTGTACCATGTCTGAGCTCAGTGCAACACTGGCCATGATTTGAAAACAACTAAGTTAATTAAATGCTTCATGATTATTGCTTTTCAAACTATGTATAAAATATCGCTGCAGGCTTAAAGGTTTCATTGCACCATGAAAAGGACCTTGAATATCATAAAAATCAACCTCAATGGCGTACCAAATGCTTCACTTAGGCTGCAGCTCAGGGAAGCCCTTGAGTATGAACTGCTGCCAAATCAGTTGTGCTGCTGAGCTCTTTTGTATTGTCCATACAGAAAGCTAACAATCCTCCAGAGGCGGCAAAGCTATCAGAAGTGTTGTATGACTGATACCTTTTAAGATACAGTATTGGTGTGATGTAAAAACCCAGAAAAGATTTTAACAGTAAATGCTATATTGACTGCTGGAGGAAAAAACAAAAACAAAAACAAACAAACAAACAAAAGCCCCCATCAAAACCCAGCTAGGGTGTCAGCAAGAAAGTAAGCAAAAATGGATAATTATTAGATCAAAGAACTCTTTGAAATCAAAATATGAAACAAAATATGAAATCGATTTGCCCACACAGGGAAGCAGTAAACTAACCGCTTTAATTAGAAAGTGAGGAAGTGAGGAAAGCAAGACCAAATAGCTCACAACGGATTAATTAATGAGACAGGGGAAGGGAGCACTGCTTGAGGAGTGGGGTTGAACTCCATCTGCACCAAAAGACAGGTAGTTTGTTGGTATTTATTGAAAGGCTGGACTTGGAAGAAAATACATGGGGGTGAGTGCTGAGTCTCTGTCTCTTACTTTTCTTCAACTTTCTAAGACAAATCACTCATGAGCAAAATAACTGTTTTGACTCATTTTGTAAGAGACTGGGTTTGAAATAAAAAATAAAGATTTAAAAAGCTCACATTTTCATCCGAACAGTGAGAGTGGAAAGGAGGGTAGGTATGATAACAACAGCAAAGATAGTCATTTGTGTACAGTGTCTGAGCAGCAGCTGTGGAATAATGGGGGGAAAAAAACAATAAGCTTTGTGCAGAAGCACACATTTTAAACATCCACCCAAGGGATGAACAAAAATCAGCTGCTGAGTGAAGCTGTTTTTTAACTAAAGGTCAGATAAAATTGCACAGAAAACTCTGCTTCTCAGCAGTGTATCTACAGGAGGGCTATGCTATTTCTAGCTATACCATTATTTATATTGTTTTTAGCACAATTCACTTCTCCAAATACGTTAGCATCACTTTCACTTGGGCCTGGATGAGTCCAGCATGTATGTATTACCCTCATTTCTTTGAAATACCAGATAAAAAAAAATTAAAAGAAATTGAGAAATTTACAGCAATTGTACAGCCGGTTCAGTTTCTGGAGATCATAATCACTGAAATCCATTCGCTGTCCTATTACATCCATGAAGTGGGGTATGTTAGTGACGATGGTGGGCTCAGTTCCATTCCTGAATGCGGTTTGGCTGTAGTGCATCACAGAAGTATAGTCATAGGGAACATTCAGGGAGTCTGATGTCTTATCATCGTATTTTTTAAAATTATGTTCTTTACCTAAGCAGGAAAAATAAAAGGAAAGATTGTTGCTCTGAGGTCCAAGTTTTGAAGTACAGGCTTAAAGTGACAGAATCCATCAAGTATTTTTTTGGTAGTCATTTACTTGTACTTACTCTGTAAAACTAATTTGTTTCTAGGCTAGAATTATTTGCCTTCCTCTTTCAGCCACTGGAACATAAAATGATGGCTTCTGCTGGATGGAGGGCTTTTTGCTACCTTTTCCCCATGAAACTACCCATAAACTTCAATGGGGTTGTGATATCCAAAATTGCAGATACTGTTTCAATACGCAAATTAATGTATTGTTTCTAATCTGTATTCTCTAATGTTTAATTGCTGGTCATTTTAGGTCAAAATTAACAAGTTATCATCAGATAAACTTCCAGAATTTAATTTTACAGATATTTTTTTGGAGTATGAGAAAAAAACCCATTACTGACTAAGGTAAATTTTAAAAATGTTTTAAATTAATCAAAATACAGTAACTAGATTCTGGTCAGTGCAAAAAAGTTGCAGCAATTTCAAAAGGCTAACAATAGCCCAACATGTCATTAAAGAGTCAGCAAAATATAATGGAAATCAAATAACAGAGTCTAAGTCATTTTCTGTAATATATACTTGCATATACACCTGACTAAATGATGATCATGACTAAATAAGAATGCATTAGATTTAATAATTATCTGGTTTTTTTCAGTCTTCTGTATGTGCCTGTGTTAGGAAAACATTGAGTCTGTGTATGTAACTTTGTTTTAGAACTGCCTGAAAGTCATGGAGGACAACGGATGTTGGATGACGGATGTTTTCACTGGAGATTTTCATTTAAACCAACTAAAGTAATAAGTATTCTCCTCTGTTGCTCTGCTGTATAACACGTAGCATAGCAGGACTCACATCTATAGTCAGGACTTTGGGAACTGCTGTGGCACAAGGAATAACCACAGCAACAACAAACAAGGCTTTCTGTCCCAAGTAGACGTCACTTGGTATTTAATTTGTTGATACACTTTGAAAACTAAGTCCAGGTGAGAGACTTAGTGTGGCCACCGAAGGACAGCTAGAGGGGATGTTCCACAGCTACACCCCTACCACCAGAGTCTGAGAGGGAAGGCTGCGGAGTGACTGACCAGACTGAATCCTGTCCCAGACGATGGACACGTAGTCATCCCGGTCAGACCGTGACTGCTCATGCCAGAACCCCAGGGCATGCAAGAACTCGTGCTGGATCGTCCCAATCCTGTCACAGTTGGCTCCGATGGAGAGCTGCTGCAATCCCACCTGGCGGTTTCCCACTGAGGACCAGCAGCTAGCATTGAAATAAAATGAGAGAGGGCTGTGTGAGATACATACCATCCCCGCGCCACGCGAACTCTAGAACCAGTCTGTCCAACAGGTGTCTTTTTGACTGTTGAAGTTACATTTTGCTACAGAGAGCACTTTTTCATTGATCTGTTTCTTACTGGCTCCTTTCTTCTCACATTTAGCTCTGTTTCGATGAACAAGCTGTATCCCTACTTTGGCTCTATTGTTTTTAATGGGGTTTTTTTTAGCAGAAAAATGTTGAGCTATTTGTGACAGCAGAAAACTGATGAGGATTTCATTGGTACTCTGGTAACCATTGAAGACTATGATTTAGAGCAATGAAGTTACTTCAAACTAACAACTTTTAGCTGGAAGATAGTAAGTGCCTGTGAGTGCTCCTTGAGCCTGTCCCCATCATAAGTGGAACCAGATTCATGCACATCCTTGCCTCTGCCACTGCAGCTGCTTCTCTCTTTATTTTGGCCATTTGCTTTGTGGGGGGCTGTGGTTGCCCAGTAAGGTACATTTCTGGTGGCTGTGTTGATCTTCTGAAAGTCTGGTGGGTTTGACACTGTTTTTCACAAGCTCTTTTCCTTCTAGCTCTTCGTGAGTTGCTGTGCTAGAGCACTAGCTGCTGACACATGCGCACAAAGCAGAGCAAAACCACAGCTGTGCTGGAAGATTTTATTAAAGAATTAAAAAATTCAGTAAGCTATCTGCAAAAGCCAATAAAATGGCACCCCATGTCACAAAGTAGCAAGCACAGAGAGCTACATTTAAATTGATATTTTATGCAGCAAATAAATCCACGCTTACCCAATGAAGTCCATAAAATTAATCAGGCACAAAATATGCCATAGGATTTGCAGTCCTATCACCCCAGAAATTTAAAAACACAAGCACATCACGTGCTTTTGAACCCTGTAACTTATTAGTGCAACATATTCCCCAGTACTTCTCTTTCCATAAAGCAACACAGGCCTTGGCTATTGATTACTCATTAAAATCACAGCATGAGACCTGGGAAGAAGCACATGTGGCACCCATAACTTCACAGGGGCTTCCCTTGAACAAGGCCTTATATCTATTATGCAGCTTTTTCTGGTTGTGCAGAAGTCTAAGAAGTCCATCACGGTTCTGGGTCCACCTCATACCAAAGCAGCTGCTTCTGGTTTCACAGCTGCTGCAGACAGCACAGTGGGCTACAGGCACATCCAGAAGACTCAGCAAAATCAGCAACCGAATGCCAGGGGATGTAGCTTTCCCTTGCCTTCAGCCTGCAAAATGCCTACATCACCGCCATTCTGCAGCTGTGGAGGTAGTAAACACATGGCCTGTGCACCCAGCAACAAGAATAAAACCAGTGCAGTGGGATGGGGCACTCCAGAGCAATGGACACCTGGAACCCATGTTAGCAGTGTCTTTAGGAGGGCAGAAAATGGGGGAACGTCCCAGCTTCCCCAAGTGTGTGAGAGCCATATCTCCTCTGATAAGGATGTGCCATTTCTCCTTACTCTTCTCAGGAAGAGCAGGACTCATTCAGCA